ATCTATCTATCTATCTATCTATCTATCTATCTATCTATCTATCTATCTATCTATCTATCTATATTTTAACATGGTGGTCTGATTTGGTCAAATATTCATTCAGAGATACTAAATAAATACTACAAATAAACAAAAACCGTTTACATTAAATCAAAAACTATCTAGCCAAAGACATCAGATTCAGAGTTCACATTCTCTTACATATGCCTGTGTATGCTAATGATGTGCGAATATGTAAAGGAAGGGTAAAAAGGTAAAAAAAATCTTTATGATAAAAGTTATCTTTTTTAGCTAGATAAGCCTCCCATGTTAAACAGGACTGACCAAAAAAAATACAAAAAAAAAAAAAACATTCAAAATTCATTCATCAGGAGGAGATAACCTATATTGTGTCTTTTCTTGTCCACTGAAAATGAAAATCACTTTTAGCAAGACCAACATTACCTAAAATAATTAATCAAAAAAAAAAAAAAAAAACCTTAAGTTGATTATCTCAACATTTTGGAGTTTTCTGGAAAAAAAAAAGCTCAGTTTTAGTGTTACAGCCACAGCCCTCTCAGTGGAGCTTGWTTTTCACTTTCTCTCTTTCGATCGGCAGAGCTTGATTCAGATCTTTGTGGCTGACCTTCCCTGAACCCTTAATGCCTTCTCGGTTGCATGAGACTGAGTCACTGTGTTCTCTACACGAGCTACGAGTCTCCGAAGGTTGTTTTGTCAGATAAACAAGTCGATCTGCATCACACTAATGGTTGAACTCTCAGGTCAAAATGTTAAAATGCAACCACTTTCTCAGAAAAGCTCTGGATTTGACGATATGAGGCTTTTTATAATCTCAAAGAAAGGCTTAGATTTTTAAAGTGTTGCATTTTGCCAGATACATTTCCTGTTTTTATAGGTTTTAAACTAAGCCTTTTGGCTCAATGTCCATAAACCAAMTGAGTTAACTGGGTTTATTAAAGCTTTTAGCTGCATGTGTTGCAGATAAAACATTGTTCTTTTTGAGTTCTACCCCTCAGCAGGTTTAACAATTAAGCAAAAATAATTTCTTATTTCCTCTCTTTATCATATGAGCTACTGTTCCACATATCTAGTCCTCATTAATAACTGTACTCACACTGCTGAGATTCAGAGCTTTTAATCTAACCTGGGAAATCATTTTTTGATTAAAACATCTAATACAACACAATCACCACATCAGCTCTTTGTTGTTTTGTCTAATTTCATCTTTTCTTTTCCATTCTCTGCTCATTAACTCATAATTCACCGTCCCACCATCGCCTCTGCTTCGCTGAGATCCCAGAGTTTTCTGGAACAGATCAAATGAGCAGAGAGGCTGRCTTCACAAAGACGTGTCGTAATTGACCCTGATGTTTCAGAGACAGAGATTTGCATGACCCCCATAGAAATGGCCTCGGGGTWATCCAATTTAGCTTGAGCAATGCTGGCTGTCATTAGCCAATGAACACAGCAGGGCCTCTCTGAAAGCAATTCTATGGGTAAAATTAGCTACCAATTAAAGTTGGTTTATTACGGTGGAATCAAGGTTCTGACAAGGAAGCAGGCAAATAGTCAACGACAAATTTTCAGTTTTGATTTCAGCAAAAACAACGTGTTTGTTGATGCAATATATTTCTGCTGGCAGTCCAGAGAGTTAGATTTGCCTCTTGCTGGATGTTTTCATCGTTTTTCCACYGGTTTTTCCCTCCTGAGTCGATTGACACCAGGTGATCCCTCCAGTATGACACACGGCAGCATTGTGGGTGGTGTGTCTTCCACGCTTTCCCGTCTGTTGCTTAGAGACAGTGCTGCCRTGAGGTATTTGGTCTGTCTACAGCCACCAGGAGACCGTGAGCAAATAACGCAGGTCAGAGGGTCACCCAGGAAAACGGGCAGCACCAGGAGACACTATAATTACACACTTATAAAAGAGTGCTCTCTGTCACTGGCTTGGAGAGGACTCTGCCTCTGGGAGGGGGGCAGCTTTTCTTCAGATGTAGTCAGGTGGATTATTTACTCATCTCCTCTCAGAACTGTTTAAAACCCTTCACTGCTGGGTTTCTTTTTTTTGAAAAMAAGTAATTTATCTTTGATAACCATTAACCAGTTAACCATGGATTAATGTGAGAAATCAGCCCGAAAGAAACATCTTCTCAAACAGTTTGGGTCTGGGAACCCCGTACAGGGGAGGGACATTTCCAAGGACTCCCTCAGAAACCTCATGCTGATTAAAAATAGTTTACTGCCACTTTAACCTTTAAATGCCATGGGAATAATTGTTGTTTCCTTGGTTTGTTTTACTGCCAGAAACGTCCCCATGTGTTCTATCTATCTATCTATCTATCTATCTATCTATCTATCTATCTATCTATCTATCTATCTATCTATCTATCTATCTATCTATCTATCTATCTATATGTGTGTATATATGTATATGTACATATATATATGCACTTTTTTAAAACAATATGACATAATTAATAATTTACTATAATTTATTTTGTGGACCCCTAAGCTATGTATCGTTGGCCATGGGCTGTCCTAGGACCTCAATTTGAGAACCTCTATTCTAGTTGACAGACTCAATATAAAAACATTTAATTTAATTTAATTTAATTTAATAAGATCTCCATGCCAAGCCTTTCACCTTCCATCTTTTTCACTGTAATTTTAACGTGTTTTAGAAAGCAGAGATGTGAGTGAGACCATGGCTGAAAAATGGGCCATGATCATGTCTATAAAATGGGACACAGAGGTTTATAAAAAGCTCATTCATGAACATTTCAAAGAAAAAAAATTGATGGTGGATTAGAAGTGCAGTATGTCAACGTTTAACATTTTACATTGCCCCAAACTATGGGTGGATCTGTTGCCTCTATGTTCTGACCAGATAAGCAGCAGAAAACCAATGGATGTTTGGACAATTATTACTTTATTATTATTTTGGGAAAAATGATTTGAATTATGTTCAATCTTAAATATTTTTGGCAACCCTGACTTCTGAAATAAAAAGCTTGTCAAAATGTGGTGTCAGATCTTAAAGGGGACCTGTCATGCAAAATCCACTATTTTCACAATTAAATACATTTTGTTGCGTATCTTCTGAGTGCAGAAATTTGGAACTTAGGTTCGCCTAGTGCTGCAAAGTTATCTTTATATTCTGTTTGGGATATATATATTTTAACCCATTCTGTTTTCTCTATTTTCTATGATACTTTCTGAACTACATCAAAATATTTGCAGTACAGTCTGGACTTAACAAAAATTTGGTCGTCTTCATTATCTTCTGGCTCCTCGTCAGACTCTGGCTCCAACATGTAAAGCTGGATATACAAGTCTTCCATTGTTGACATCTTTAATTAATTTGAAAAAAAAAATTAAAGTCATAAATCCTTCTATCAATCTAGAATGGACTGCTCTGGGAGGAGGGAGCGGGGTGTGAAGTGTTTTGTTTAGGTTTTAAGAAACAGTGTCAAAATGAGTTGATCTGAGCCACACCTCAGAAAAGGGGTGAGAGAGGGGCTTGTGGAGTTACAATAAGAAGGAATTCAGACCAAAGCATTTCAGTTCCATTTTATATAGACCCCCTACTGAATGATTTAAAGGTGAAAAAGATGAATTTAAAAGCATGATATGTCTGCTTTTAATTTGTGACACTATGAAACAAGGTATAAAACACTCCGCTCACTTCTAAAAACAAAGAAAATTGTTACGATAATGTTAAAAAAATCTCAGTATCAAGGACAAGAAACCATGTAAATGAAATAAACATCAAGATTTGCAGGTTTTTGTTGAAACTCTGTCTTTTGTCCTCACAAAATCTGGATCAGCTTCTTGCATCAGGTGGGACCTTCAGTTCAAACCATGACAGCTGATTGGCTGAGGAAGTAGATCAGTTCATTCAGATGACAACTAATAAAGGAAATCTTCCTCTCCCCCCAGGAGTCTCATGGCACACGGGGCCCGAGACAACAAAGCTGGAACAGGATTGGACTGCATGAGAGAAAGACGTGACAGAAAAAAGTTGATGGATTGATAGATTTTTAGCACTGAAGTGAAAAATTGAACAGTGGTGTCAAAACTTGCTGGATGTTTAGTTTGCATCTTCTTTGATGTTGTTGCTATAACTGCAGTGGAACATTTACAATCAATAACCTAGCGACCATGCAGTCCTCATCTATCTCTGATGATCACACTGGTCAAGTAATTGGAGTAAAAGGTGCAAACACATCCAGGTACGTTCATAGTTTAGCTGAATGGCCTCAGCTTGCCAAAGACAAACAGTGAGGGAGTGGAAAAGAGGAGCGAGGAAGAAACTAGGGCGCTGTTATCTGGCCCCTTTTTTTTTACCAACCACCAGGCACACGGCAGAGAAAGGAAACGAAAGAACCTTGGAGAGCAGGAGAGGCGAGAGGACATCAGCCGTGTGCCGAACACGAAAAACGTCTGAAGTCCACATCTGACGTCAAAGACCAAAGAAGGGGAACAACTTCAGTTGCAGTCTGCGCCATCACTCACTCAGCACTTCTCACCCTCCTGCCACGCACAACATGTGCACGCTCGTGCACACTTCTACAACCTACCACACACACTGAGCGGCAACATGTTTGAGGAGCAGGTGACCAAAGTCAAGATCATATCTGTGGTGATTGTCATTGGGATGTCGGCCATGCTGGCTGCAGTGGTGACTGACCACTGGGCTGTCCTCAGCCCCCGTGTAGAAAAGCTCAACGCCACATGCGAGGCGGCCCACTTTGGCCTCTGGAGGCTTTGCAAGAAGACCATCTTTATAGTGAAAGAGGACCCTCAGGGCAAAGGATGTGGCCCTATCAGCTTACCTGGAGGTATGGACCCTCTGTCTTATTACAGATAAATTACTTAGGATGCATGTTATGTTGTTAGGTACACTAAATATGTTTATGAATACCTAAATTTAAACTAAAAATGTCTTATGGCAGAGGTAAAGTCAATCTAGTCAATCATTGTAAATGACATTTTCTTATGAGACACTATGGTACATTGTCCTTTGAGTATGTGTTGAGGGTGAATCTCAGCTACTACCAGACTAAATTTTAGCCCAAAATTTGAAAAGCTGACTGACGTGTGGCCATTTCTGTGTTTGCAAAGGTTAATTGGTTGTATTGGTCATCTTGAGTTTGATTGACCTCATTAGCTTATCAGTTGTAAATGTACATCTAATGATAACTTTTTGAGAGGCTCACTAAAATCTCTCCAGTATTCATGAAATATTTTACCAACAGACTGAAACGTTTAATGCCAAAATCTTAAAATAAGATGTTGCACAATGTGTGGAGCATTGTATTTGTGTTGAGAATGACTCTTAGCTACTACGCCAAGTTTTAGTGTTTAAAGGAGACATTTCATGTTTTTAAATACTTTTTTCATGTTTAAATCATTCATGCAGGTCTATATAAAGTGGAATTGCAATGCTTTGGTTTGAATTCCTCCTTGTAACTCCACAAGCCCCTCTTTCACCCTTTTGTGAGGCATGTCTCAGATCAACTCGTTTTGAGGCTGTCTCTTTAAATTCAAACAAGGCGCTTCACAGAGCGGCACATGTTGGCATGCACACACATTTCCACAAACATTAAAGTGCGTTTGGACTAAAATGTTTCACAGCTCTGAGGCCAGCCTCTCAACGAGCTGTCTYTTTTTTTCTCCACAGAGGAAATCACCAAACAGACTGTCAATTAAACACTTCCGAAATATCAAGTACACAGAAAGATAACTTCTGTACTTCTAAACCTTATGTCTGTCAAAAACAACGGGAGTTGTTAAACCATTTGTCATGATGTATTCTGGCACTTTCTTAAATAAAATCAAGGATTGCACAGATGTTTTAACTTCCACATCTAGTTTTTTCTGCCTGACACAGAATGTCAGAGCAGATTTGTGGCTGGCTTTGATCAAACCAGGAGCTAAACTGTCAAGAAAGTATTTTTTTTCTGATGGCAAACCTTGTGTTTTAGATACATTTATGGTTCAATCACAGAACTAAAAGTGAAGGTACTCTTCAAGCTCCCTTTGAAAGCTTTTTAAAGATTGCTGCCTTGAAAGTATGTCTGCTCATTTGTCTGTCTGTTTGTAAATAATCTCATTAACCAGATTACAATTTCTTTTAAAGTAATCATAGAACTGACATGTACAACTTATTAATCTTTATAGAAAACACAATTCAAAATGACTGCCACAGCAAATTAATCTAAAAATGGCTCCAATTGTATCAATTTTGAAGATACTTAAATGGTAAAAAAAACAACATACTGATTATTCAGCTCATTTTCTGAGTCCACTAACATTTTGTTATTATTTAGCTCACTGTTCTTACATTTTGCTAATTTTTTGCTAAGTGTTAAATTTAAATGTTTAAAATTATGTAAATATTAAATCCTAAATCAAAATGTGTAAATCTAAATGCATCTTAATGTAGAGGTTCACAACCTTTTCTGTTGGTGCTTGGCTTTTGTTGAATAAGGAGGACTGAATCTGACATTCAGTGGGGTGCAAAAGTTTGTGCAGCCTTGTTAATTTTCCTAATTTACCTTTATAAATCAATGATTGTTTGGATAAAAAAATCAGTTAAATATATCATATAGGGGACAAACACAGTGATATTAGAGAAGTGACATGAAGTTTATATGATTTACAGAAAGTGTGCAATAATTGGTTAAACAAAATTAGGCAGGTGCATAAATTTGGTCACCGTTTTCATTTTATTGATTTCAAAACCTTTAGAACTAATTATTGGAACTTATACTTGGTTTGTTAAGTTCAGTGACCCTTGACCTCCATATACAGGTGACTCCAATTATGAGAAAGGGTATTTAAGGGGGCTATTGTAAGTTTTTCTCCACTTTGCATCTTTTCTGAAGAGTCGCAGCATGGGAGTCTCAAAACAACTTTCAAATGAGCTGAAAACAAAGATTGTTCAGCATCATGGTTTAGGGGAAGGATACAGAAAGCTATCTCAGAGATTTCAGCTTTCAGTCTCCACTGTGAGAAACATTGTGAGAAAATGGAGRACCACAGGCACAGTTCAAGTCAAGGATAGAAGTGGCAGACCAAGTAAAATCTGGAATAAACAGAAGTGAAGGATGTTGAGAACAGTCAGAGTCAACCCACAGACCAGCACCAAAGACCTACAACATCATCTTGCTGCTGATGGAGTCAYTGTGCAKCRTTCAACWRTTCAGCACACTTTACACAAGGAGATGCTGTATGGGAGAGTGATGCAGAGGAAGACTTTTCTCCRCCCACATCACAAACAGAGCAGCTTGAGGAATGCTAAAGCACATTTGGACAAAGCAGCTTCATTTTGGAATAAGGTGCTGTGGACTGATGAAACTAAAACAGAGTTATTTGGGCAGAACAAGGGCCGTTATGCAGGGAGGGAAAAKAACACAGCACTCCAAGAAAAACACCTGCTACCTACAGTAAAATGTGGGGGTGGTTCCATCATGCTGTGGTGCTGTGTGGCCAGTACAGGGAGTGGGAATCTTGTTAAAGTTGAGGGACGCATGCGATTCCACCAATATCAGCAGATTCTGGAGACCAATGTCCAGGAATCAGTGACAAAGCTGAACCTGCACCGGGGCTGGATCTTCCAACAAGACAACCACCCTAAACACTGCTCAACATCTACTAAAGCTTTCATGCAGAGGAACAAGTACAACGATCTGGAATGGCTATCTCAGTCCCCAGACCTGAATATTATTGAAAATCTGTGGTGTCACTTAAAGAGAGCTGTCCATGCTCAGAAACCATCAAACCTGAATGAACTAGAGATGTTTTGTATAGTAGAATGGTCTAAAATACCTTCAGCCACAATTCAGACTCTTATTAGAAGATAGGAAGCATTTAGAGGCTGTTATTTCTGCGAAAGGAGGGTCTACTAAATATTGAGTTAAAGTTTTGTTTTTTGGGGTTTTTTTTAGTGCCCAAATTTATGCACCTGCCTATTTGTGTTTAACCAATTATTGCACAGTTTCTGTAAATGATATAAACATCATTTCACTTCTCAAATATCACTGTGCTTGTCCCCTATATCTAATATTTAACTGTTTTTTTATCCAAACCAGCAATGATTTATAAAGGTAAATCAGGAAAATTAACAAGGCTGCTCAAATTTTCGCACTCCACTGTAATTACAAATAAAAGCTGAAATATATGAATGGACCAACAAATGAACTCAAAATGGACCAATTAAATTAAGAAAGGATACTTTTACCTCATATTTTTTTCATTTAATTGACCTTCATATTTATTTTTCCAGCTTAGTTCCAATAAATCATGTCTTTTAGTTTTATTTTAACTTACATTTTATTGTATAAAAAACATATTTTTTTCTTTTAATTCTACATCTCATTGATTATATTTGACCTTTTTTAAATAAAATTTCACACATTTTTTTTATTCCCATGTGTTGCTTTTACATTTCTCTGTCCCCTGTATTTACTTTACCTTATGCATGTTGGCCTCATTATGCAAATAAGGTGGGCGGAGCTTCTCGGGTCAGCTCCTCACCTGTTAGTCAATAGACAGGTGGGAGCAGGAATCATATGCAGATCAACTGTGCAYACTTGTGCTGCCTCAGTTTAGCTTAAAGTTTAGCATTTAGTTTAAAACAAAGGCAAGGAGGAAAACACTTACYTCTGCCTTTGTTTTATGTCAGATTTGGTCCTCCATAGTTGATGTCATCATCTGACACAATAGCAACCACTAATGCTGCTAACACGGGTAACAATGCTAACGCTTCCCTAAAGGGCATAAAACTTACAGATTGTGTGGCCCCTTTGTTTAAAACTTTGGCATTAATTGCTGAAATCAGTAATGTGTGTCTGTTAACAAAATATCTTAAGAACCAATACAAAGGTTTTGGTAAACCTCTCGAGATACTGTATACTAGCATCTAGAAATGATTAAATTTCGAAGTCAACCCTGGTTAAGAAAGCCACAGCTACAGTAAGTCACCATAGCAAATACAGAAACGTCTTTAAATCAGTCAATTTAGCAGATCTTGAGCTCAAATTTGGTGTTGCAATGGCTGGAAGTTGTCTAAAAGACATATTCAAAGCACCAACAACTTATACTAGATCCGTGTTTGAAATTTCATAGGTTCAAACAAAGATCTGGCACCTGTTACACAATCATGTAGTATCACACATATAAAAATAAACAAAAATAAATCCATGTTGCATTCTAAAGGCATTTCCCCTTCTGAGCTAGTCATGTTGCTTTAATTATGAGGCTCTATCTGTGCACACCCAGCCCCTGGGTAAACCATGTCTCCTGGCCTCTAGCTGTGTGTGCGTGCCTTGCAGCCTAACAGAGAGATTTCACTCCGACTCTGTCATTGACTTTGCCTCTGGCTCCAGCGCCTCAGGATCAGTACAGACCTTAATGAAGTGTGGCTTCCTGCTCCAGCTCATGAGTTAGAGTACACCTGGGAGACTCGGGAGGAATGAACGAAATTGAGGGAAGGGAGCAGATGAGTGTATCTGGGCTGGAAAACCTCTTTTTGAGAGGGGGAGACGTGGCACGGCGCCCTTTTTAGAGTTCCCAAAGATGAAGGGAGGCTTTCAGTGAGGCGAGATGATGCCATACTATGTTTTATGGATCACATGTAGAGAAAATCAGACGAGGGTGGACATTAGATGGTGAGGTGGATGAAACTGAGGCTTTCATAAAAGAAACTTGAAAACGCCACAGCTCAGTGATCTTTTTTTAAAAAGACTTTTAATTTATCTTTTTGTAAAGCTAATCACCTGTTGAAGTGATGAAGAGGAGACTGCAGGTGACAGATTCACAAATCCAGTTTGACGAA